CCATCAAAGTAAGTTCGACCTCGCTCGAACTGGGAACAAGGCTAAGCGCCTTCGCCATCAAATGTAACAGGTTCGACCTCGCTCGAACTGGGACTCAGGCCAAGTGCCTTCGCCATCGAAATAGTGCAGTTCGACCTCGCTCGAACTGGGACTCAGGCCAAGTGCCTTCGCCATCAAAATAGTGCAGTTCGACCTCGCTCGAACTGGGACTCAAGCCAAGTGCCTTCGCCATCAAAATAGTGTAGTTCGACCTCGCTCGAACTGGGACTCAGGCTAAGTGCCTTCGCCATCAAAGTAAGTTCGACCTCGCTCGAACTGGGACTCAGGCTAAGTGCCTTCGCCATCAAAGCAAGTTCGACCTCGCTCGAACTGGGAACAAGGCTAAGCGCCTTCGACATCAAATTTGACAGGTTCGATCTCAGTCGAACTGGGACTCAGGCTAAGTGCCTTCGCCATCAAAGCAAGTTCGACCTCGCTCGAACTAGAAACAAGGCTAAGCGCCTTCGACATCAAATTTAATAGGTTCGACCTCAGTCAGACTAAGAATAAGGTTAAGTGTCTTCGCTATCGAGCTCATTAGGTTCGACCTCGGTCGAACTGAGACTCAGGCTAAGTGCCTTCACCATCAAGCCTATTAGGTTCAACTTCACTCGACCTAGGACTCAGGCTACATACCTCCGTCCTCCAAATCAGAGTTCGACCCCGCTCGAACTATAAGGCTGCGTTTCCTCCATCACAGTCGTAGTCCGACCGCGTTCGAACTGGGACTGGAGCTAAGAGGAGCTAAGTGCCGTCGCCATAAAACGACAGCTCCACCCCGTTCATGTCGTGTCAAAGGGCAAAAAACGTTATCAATCAAAAACTGACGTGCCGACCTCGGTCGAACTCAAAAGCGAGTCGTCCCTCCAAACATGATTCAAAAAAAAAAGAGGGGGAAGAAGGTACAAAGTAAGTACAAGACAAACGACAGAAAAGAAAGTGTATTTATCTACAAAGTTAAGAGCGCGGGTCGTCCCCCGCTTACACCCGGCCCCGGCCGGTCAACACAAGGAAAAGAAAAATAAAGAAAAACAACAAGAAACACCCGAACGCCAATCGGCAAACGGAACAAAAAAATCACCAATAACAAATTCTTTTTTACTCGCCGCCACCATCGCCGCCACTCACGCCATCGTCAGCCTCGGGTGTCGCCACATCATAACCACAGTCGGCACGAGCTTCACGAGCCTTATGGCGTGCCACCTCGAAGACGGCCTCGGTCACAATACCTGCCTCCAACAAGTTCTTGTAAACATCGCGTTGAGCTTCGGCGTAAACCCAAAGTTCATGAGCCTGGTGGGAAACGGCAGTATGCGACGAACCAGCTTGGCTCTGCAGTCGCCGATTCTCCTCCTCCAAGGTCGCAATCCGGTCCAACATAACTTGGGCCTCCTGCTCAAGAACACCAATCTGTATTGGTAGAAATTCGGCCATACGATGACCAGGGGGTCAACCCCATCGCGACCAATATATAGTAAATGGTCAACGCTATTGATTCTTGACTTATGACAGCTGTCCTTAAGATGAACGAGGGGGTCATGGCCCTTTCACAACAAGGGGACGTCTCCACAGCCGAAAACGACGCCAACTCGTGATCAGCTCACAAAGCTTGAAGCTATAAATACCAAGAGAGAGAACCTCTTCAAAGGGGCTTCTCCAATGGGCAGAGAGAAAGTATTTAACACTCCATTCTCTCTCCTGATTCTTCTCCTCCTGGGCCAAAACATAGAACATTCTTGGTTCTGAGAACAAAGGGAAGAATGCTCCATCACGCTGAAGAAGACGTGAGAAGTTCAGAAATCGACAGGCTCTCGACCTCTTTCCAAGGAAAGAGGACAATGACCTGCAAAAAGGAAAGCCAAATCTGTAATCCTTGAACCTCTCCAAGGAGGGGCAGGGTCAATTTCTCCAATCAATAAAGCTTCCTGAGTATTGCTTAAATGAAAATGGTTGTCTTGCTGCTTTAATTCCTGATTCAGTATTAATTATGATTGGCTAGGATTTACCTTTGATTCATTTTGATTGTTTTCGCTTACAAAGTAATTAGTATCTTTTGAGCTAAACATATTGTTTATTAGATTGGTTAATTTTTTGAATATTTCATTAGCAAATTATCTTATACTGGTAATTAAACAACACTAAGTTATATTCTTTTCTTTCAAAGAGAAGCTGCAGTTCTAAAAATGGGCTTGACCAATTGAAGTGAAAAGTTGTCCCGTGGTTTGCTTGGTCCCCAAGTCATGAAAAATTTTATTTTGTGTCTCACACAACTGACACTAGTTGTATGAGGCCTCTTTTTTATCTCACAACTGTGTGGTCCCAGAATTTTGTGGACCCAGATGTGTAAGATATGGGTCCACAAATATGTGAGATAAAAAGAGGCATCACACAACTAATGTAAGTTGTGTGAAACACAAAAAAACCACTCCCAAGTCACACCTCAATTAACAAAGCTCACGATTTCCTAGATTTCTGCTGCCATTCTTCAGCTTGTATGTGCCAAATATTGATTTATTATTACATTATGATGAATTCTTGTAAGAAGTAGTTTGTTATTCATGTGGGGAATGTGGGTCTTTCCTACCTCGGTGGCCTAAAGCTATTTTACGAACATTTTAAGTTCTTGTTCATTTTTTATATTTGATTAAGAATATACACTATTAAGTGTATGTACAAATACTTGTACATATTTAAACTAGACTAGATGAAATCAAGCGCGTGCTCAACGTTGTGCTTATGAAGTAGTAACTTGTAAAGAAATTTAAATTACTGCAAACTAAAGCTAACTGAAATGGACCTACAAGAGCTCAGCATCTCCTTTTTTATTTTATTATTTTTTACCAGAGTTAAGTGTTTACAAGTTTGTGGTTAAACTTAAACATTCTTGGATAAAGATAATATATCTTTATTTTACAAGATGAGGTTTAGTAGATTTGGTGCCTATAAATTGACATTGGAGTTGGCACAATAAATAATATTGTATCCAAGCGATCAGTTCGCATAAACATTGTGGAGTTCTTTGCAAACTGTGAAATCAAGAATGAAAGGGTAACCAGTGTAGTAAAAGGGGTGAAAGTGAGATTTGATGACAAGGAACTAGGAGAGATTCTAGGGGTACCTGCTGAAGGGTACAATGATTAAATAAAGTTGAAATGACCAAACCTAGAAAACCTACCTACTCACTTGCCATCACCAAGAAATTTGTTGACAGAGACTTAGAGCTATAACCAGGGCTGTTTATAAGAGTGAAATAAAATCTGCCCACAAAGCGCTCTTTGAGTTTGTCAACAAAATTGTTCTGCCAAGATAGGAAAAAAGGCATATTGCTAATTTTATGGACATGGTCCTTATGGAATGCCTGGACAGTGGGAGCCAGATCAACTGTTCGGGGTTTATAATCCACTCCTTGATAGGATACTTTCTGACACTAAATCTCATGTCATACCCTATGGGTTCATACTCTGTTGTGCTTGCTCACTTTAAGGTCCCCTCAAGAAAAGGAATGTTAGCACAACTAAAGGTGTCCATGAGACACACATATGTCCAAGTATCTACTTAATTATTTGGTAAGTTTTAGTATCAAATGTCTTTTCACCTTGTAGGCTCTAGTGGGCAAATGTCATTTTTACATCATTGATTAGGTATGAGAGGTTTTGAGACTAATACAGTATCAAAATGGTCTAATTTTTCCTTCAGTTCTATTTTGCATGGAGCTAACTCATCTCGCGCATCCAACTAAAAGATATACGTGCTTTGATGGTGTCTGCAAATGAAATTTTAAATTATCTGCCATCAAATCAGTACAACAATGAGTTAAAACTTTCATCATACAAAAAAATATCCTACTTATGAAGCATGATAACTGAGCTTCTCCAAAATGTACACAAATAAAGCAAATTGATGTAAGTTCACAAGGCCCGTCTCATGGCCTATGGACCAAATCTATTAGAATTTAGCTAATACTAATATTAAAAATAGAAAAGGAATAATAGTCAATATAAATTTAAATCAAGATAAAAATAATAATGTTTTATTTTCTATATTCCAGATAGGGGATTTCTTATAACAACATCAATTAAAGTACTTACCTTTATTATATGTTCACATTAGTTATAATTACAACAATTGATACCTAATTCAAAACTTGATGATGATGATGGTTTACATTTTGAGTGGCTCCAACAATAAATTCAAAGTATTTGGTCCCTTTTATCGAATGAAGCATCACAGTTTGGAAAATCTATTTTATTTTAATTTTTGAACCCTATTGTATAACAACTTTTAACCCCTTAGAGGTCTTAGACATGCATAGTAAAAGAAGAAACAAGGTAGTTCGCCAAAATATTGCATAAACTATCATCTCATCTTGAGTTCCATAAGTCTATCAACTTTTTCCAGTCCCCCTCCACATACTTAATATTCTACAACTTATTAAGGTTCTTGTTTTAACTTTATTCATGACATTTTTGTGTTAACACCTCGACACATAATTAAACATATATACATGCTTCAGAAAAGTTGCAAGCTTTTTTACTTCAATATTTTATGAATCAGTTCTTTTTCTCGCCAACTTAATGGATCTTCTAAAGAAACCTAGTAAAAATTCAATACAAAAGAATATATTTCTAAAAAGAAAGAAAAGGTTACTGTAAATTTTCAACAGCAAAAGCTGTTAATTACTGAAAATTTTATTGAGCACAAGAGCCACTAAGACCAAGCAAACTCTTATTTTCTTTTGTAAATACAGAGCTTTCAACTCTACGCGTGTTTTTTCTTTTATTCAGCAAATGAGACTCTAGATATCAGAATACTAAAAGTCAATGTAAAATAAAATAATAAAAAAATATAAAATCTGATTAGTTTAGATCTATAGGACAATCTTCCAATCAAAGGTTTAAAATTCTCATAAAAATGACTACCAACATAATATGACGATCTTTTAGGAGTAATTAAATGTTGAAACACTGCATAAAAAAAGTTAAATTTTTCGAGGTATCACCCTTCTACAACATTAAATATGATTGAGAAAAAACATAAAATGCCAATATGATGAACGTATGACCTACTTATGAGAACATAGCATATTGTATCTGGCACTATAAAGACAAAAACGCTGATCTATCAAGCTTCATCCATTTTTAACTTATATATGGAGCTTTGAATGCATAGTTGTTAGCCCTACTAATAAAAAAAATTTCAGTATTGAAATAGAGAAATGGGACATAGCTCAAATGGAAGACTTGATATTAACACGATCTTGTCATACTTTTTCACCAGAAATATCAGCACTTAAGACAACCTTAACCTGGCGTTCAACACAAAAGATAACATGTAAGAATTAAACCTTGGAACTCTTGTTATCTCAGCAGAGTATGTAACCGAAAAAAGAGAATGAAGAAACTAAAGATATATTACCTAAGGAAAACCATTCTGATATTGCAACATGGAATAGGCCTCAGTAAGTCCCTCAATAGACATTGTCACAACATCTGCAAATCATTGCACTTTAGTATGTACATAAAATAGATATTTAGTCTTTCAACAGATAACATACGACGTGTAGTACCTATTATATAAGCATGACATAACCATATATTATAAACACAAATATACATACATAGATACTAAAACAGAATCGTTTTCACTCCTCAATACGGAGAAACTAAGAAAAAACGTAAGTCAATAGAAGAGCAATATTTATCGGGCTCTGAAATGCTGAACAGACAAACGAACATACAACTACCACAACAAAGAGCAAAAGGCTGAAGTAAATAAGATGAAACAAAACAAAGTAATAAAAGCATCAGTAATAGACATTCGCAAACAAAAAGCTGGAGAAAGGCGAAATCTTACAGCAACAAATAAAGCTAACGTACACCAACTAAGAAATTAAGAAGAGAGGTATTATTTCTTACTTATCTTTGGTTGTGTAGGGAGTACAAAGTGGATGTGTTTTAATCTTTCTAAACACAACGTTAATCCTAACATAATAATATAATATTATTTAAGTAAATAAAATCATTACCCTCTGAATATGCCTCTCATAAGAAATTGAATATCGGGAAGGTCGGTACTAAAACAAAATGAATTGTCACTATAACTTCTTATAACCAAAGCAGAAAGGTTTTTTTGTAGTAAATTGCAGTTCTCCCATGAAAGCCAATTGAAGATTAGGTTGCATTCACTTAAATAGATGGAGAATCCAACAAATTGAGGGAGTTCTTCTCCCTCATGCCTTACTTTTAAATTCCCAAAAAACCCGATCAAAACTTTAAAAAAAAAAGATGAAATTATAAGTCAGATATGATAAGGATGGAGAATCTGGCAGATTGAGACAAAAATGAGGTCAGATTCAGTTGAAAATTAGTTTTTCTAACCCATAATGAGAAGTCCACCATTGTTTTCTATGAAGATTCATACTACAAGGTTTTTTAAAAAAAAATATGCAAATTCATACAGATTTAAAAATAAAGAGGAAGATTTCGGTAAAATCGGAAGAGTAGCTAACCTGAAAATTTAACACCACAGTTGAGAAGAGTGAATAGAACTGAAAAATAGGTAAGAAAGGAAGAAGAAAAGAGGCGGTGGCTGAAAAGCTCAATAACGTGGTTATTGACACGTAAGCACTTTTATGGCTAAGAGAAATGACTCTTCTACCCTTGGTCGACCATCTTCTCATTTATATATTAAAAAGTTCAAATAAACAAGCACATCTGTTAATGAAGTAAAGTGACTTTTCGCAAAAGGCCGCAAGTATGAAATAGTGATTTTTTCTATCCTGAAGAAGATTGTCTGTATTTTCCCCAAATCTGTATACGGGCAATTTCTTTAAGAAAAGTTGTTCTCACGCCTCAAGCCTTCTCAATCTCGTTTTCAATTACTGTTTTCTAACAATTCTATGTAACGATCCGACCGGTCGTTTTGAGCATTTGCACTTCGGTCGGTGGTTTAAGGGCATGAGTAGCTCCGTTTGATGTATTTTGACTTGTGTGTATCATCGGTTTTGGCTTTCAGGTGTTTCAGAATTAGTTTGGAAGAATGAATTTCAGGTTTGAAGCTTTAAGTTGGAAGAGTTGACCAGTTTGACTTTTGAGTATTTGTGTCACGACCCCAAAATCAACCCGGTCGTGATGGCGCCTATCATGAAACTAGGTCAGCCGACACAATCCCAAAACAAATTGATATTTCATAATAAAGATGTTTTATGCTATTAATTAATAAAATTTCACAGCATAAGTCTAAATAACATGTGCGGAAAGAACAAAGGCCCGACATCGGGGTGTCACAAGTCACGAGCATCTACTAAGGACTGCCTGAATACAACTAAGACTATCACAGTCTGGCAAATACTAATATAGTCTAAGGAAGATAAGAGGGAGAAGAGCAAGGCTGGGATCGCCATGCAGCTACCTTGCCGACTCCGAATATCCGCAACGGATGAAAGATCAACGCTCGCTATCACGACCCGCAACTCCTGGATCTGCACACAAGGTGCAGGGAGTAATGTGAGTACGCCAACTCAGTGGGATTCCAACTATGAAATCCATGGTGATCCGCTCCCACTTCCACTCTGGAATATCCATCTACTGAAGCAAGCCACCCGGTTTCTGATGCTCATATTTCACCTGCTGACAATTGAGACACCGAGCTACAAATCCCACTATATCTTTCTTCATTCTTCTCCACCAGTAGTGCTGCCTCAAATCTTGATACATCTTTGCGGCATCCGGATGGATGGAATACCGCGAGCTACGGGCCTCGTCCAGAATCAACTCCCGAACCCATCTACATATGACACACATATCCGGCCCTGCATCCTCAATACCCCATCATCACCAATAGTCACATCTCTGGCATCGTCGTGCTGAACTCTGTCCTTGAGGACAAGCAAATGAGGATCATCATACTGGCGCTCTCTGATGAGATCAAACAAGGAAGACCGAGAAACCACACAAGCTAAGATCCGACTGGGCTCCGAAATATCCAATCTCACAAACCGAAAGGCTAAGGCCTGAACATCAACTCAAAAGGTCTCTCCCCAACAGGAATATACGCCAAACTGCCCATACTCACCGCCTTCCTACTCAAGGCATAAGCCACTACATTGTCCTTTCCCGGAAGGTACAAAATAGTGATATCATAGTCCTTTAGCAGCTCCAACCATCTCCGCTGCCTCAAATTGAGATCCTTCTGCTTGAACAAGTGCTGGAGGCTACGATGATCAGTAAACACCTCACAAGACACACCATAGAAATAATGCCTCCAAATCTTCAATGCGTGAACAATGGCAGCCAACTCCAAATCGTGAACAGGGTAGTTCTTCTCATGGGGCTTCAACTGACGAGAAGCATAAGCAATCACTCTACCCTCTTGCATCAACACACACCCAATGCCAACTCTAGAAACATCACAATATACTGTATATGAACATGAAGCTGATGGCAAAACTAACACTAGAGCTGTGGTCAAGGCAGTCTTGAGCTTCTGAAAGCTCGTCTCACACTCATCCGACCACCTGAAAGGAGCACCCTTTTGAGTCAATTTGGTCAAGGGTGATGCTATCGATGAAAATCCCTGAACAAACCGACGGTAATAATCCGCCAAACCAAGAAAGCTGCGAATCTTTATGGCTGAGGACGGTCTGGGCCAACTCTGAATCGCCTCTATCTTCTTCGGATCAACCTGAATACCCTCACTGGACACCACGCGCCCCAAGAAAGCCACTGAACTAAGCCAAAACTCACACTTGGAGAACTTTGCATAAAGCTTCTCCTCCCTCAACCGCTGCAATACAACTCTCAAATGCTCAGCGTGCTCCTCCTGACTACGCGAGTACACCAGAATATCATCAATGAATACAATAACAAACGAGTCGAGATAGGGCCGAAACACGCTGTTCATCAAATGCATGAACGCTGCTGGGGCATTGGTCAACCTAAAAGACATCACAAGGAACTCATAATGACCATATCGGGTCCTGAAAGCTGTCTTAAGAATATCCGAGTCCTTGATCTTCAACTGGTGATACCTCGACCTGAGATCAATCTTGGAGAAATCCCTCGCTCCCTGAAGCTGGTCAAATAAATCATCAATACGAGGTAAATGATACTTATTCTTGATTATGACTTTGTTCAACTGCCTGTAATCAATGCACATCCTCATCGTGCCATCCTTTTTCTTCACAAGGAGAACAGGCGCACCCCAAGGTGACACACTAGGCCGAATAAACCCGTTATCAAGGAGTTCCTGAAGCTGTTTCTTCAACTCCTTCAACTACGCCGGTGCCATACGATACGGTGGAATAGAAATGGGCTGAGTGCTCGGCACCAAATCAATACCAAAGTCAATATCCCTGTCCGGTGGCATGCCCGGTAGGTCTGCAGGAAACACATCCGGAAAGTCCCTCACTACCGGGACTGAATTAATGGTAGGAGTCTCTGTACTGACATCCCTCATGAAGGCTAAGTAAGAAAGACAACCCTTCCCAACCATCCGCCGGGCCTTCAAAAATGAAATCACCTTACTGGGGACATAATCCGTCGAACCTCGCCACTCAATCCGTGGCATACCCAGCATGGCCAACGTCACTGTCTTAGCATGACAGTCGAAAATGGCACGACATGGGGATAACCAATCCATGCCCAATATCACATCAAAATCAACCATACAAAGCAACAGAAGGTCCACTCGGGTCTCCAAACCCCTAATAGTTACCACACAGGACCAATATACGCGGTCCACAATAATAGTATCGCCCACCGGATTAGATACACAAACAGATGAAACAAGAGACTCACGGGGGTATCCAAATAATGAGCAAAGTATGATGACACATATGAAAATGTGCAAACAGGGTCAAATAACACAGAGGCATCTCTGTGGTAGACTGAGACAATACCTGTAATCACAACATCAGAAGCAATGGCATCTGGTCTGGTTGGGAGTGCATAGAAACGGGCCTGACCATCGTTTGATCGACCTCCCCCTCTAGGGCGACCCCTAGCTGACTGTCCTCCACCCCTAGCTGACTGGGTGGGTGGTAAAGTAACTGATGCTGAAGTCGATGGCTGACTCCTCTGCTGAGGCGGACCCCCATGATGACGAGGACACTGCCTCCATTTATGCCCCAACTCTCCACACTCATAACAACCCCCTGGTGCTGGAGACGAGGACTAAAGGGAACCCCTAGCACCGGAATGACTAGCATAAGAACCTGGCATGGAAGAGCCCTGAAGTGATAGAGCACGGGATGAACTCTAGGCTGGAAGGGCAGTAAGTGATGAATGGCCCTGATGAGAACTGTGAGAACCATAGCCCGATAATGCCCTGCGATGGACTGGGCGAGCTGACTGAGCATGCTTGAATGGACGACTTCTGCTGTGCTGAAACTGACCCCCATGAGGAGCACCACTGAATCCACCCTGACCACGAGGCCTCTTGGCTTCCCTCTCAACCCTCTCCTGACCACGAACCATCTCAATTTGTCGAGCTATGTCAACAACCTCATCAAAAGTGGCACCATACACCCTCTCTCCGGTCATAAGCAACCGAAGCTAAAAATTGAGGCCATCTATAAACCTCCTGATCCTCTCTCGGTCTGTGGGAACCAACCAGACCGCATGACGAGCCAACTCGGAGAACCGCATCTCATACTATGTAACAGACCTATCACCCTGACGAAGCTGCTCGAACTGCCTACGCAGCTCAACTCGGCGTGACTCAGGTACAAACTTCTCCAGAAAGAGAATGGAGAACTGCTGCCAAGAAAGGGGCGTTGCTCTACGCCTCTGTAAGCCTCCCACCAACTAAGTGCAACCCCGGAGAACTGGAAAGTAGTGAATGAGACCCCACTGGTCTCCAGAATACCTGCAGTCCGAAGCATCCTCTGACACTTATCTAAGAAACCTGTGCATCCTCACCCTCAGCACCACTAAATGACAGAGGCTGGAGTCTCCCAAACCTGTCCAATCTGCGCTGCTCGTCGTCTGGCATAACAGGAGCTACATAGTCCTGAGCAGCTGCAACCGGCTGGGCTGGAGGTGCCCCCGGTGTCTGAAGTCCCTGTACAACCTGCTGTGCAAGCGGCGGGAGTCTGAGTGCCTCCCCCGGCTTGAGAAGTAGCTGCGGCCGTAGTAACTGAGACCGCCTGAGCCAGGCCAGTGCACACTGATAGAATCTGGGCTAGGGCCTCCTGAAGGCCTGGAATAACAATAGGCACAGCCGGTGCCTGAGTTGGTCCTGCTGGAGCGTCCACAACTGGGACCTGATCATGAACTGGGGCAGCTGGTGGCAGGTGCTTCCCTAGCTGCTGTGCAGGCTACACCCCTGCTCCTACCACGGCCTCGACCGCGACCTCGGCCTCTAGTGGCCCCAACTGGTGGTACTCGTGGTCGTCCGTCTTGATCGGTAGCATGTGTCCTCACCATCTGTGAGAGAATGGAATAATAAAAGTTTAGTTACCAGAATCAACAGATTCGCACGACAAGAATTCAAGAATGTAAAGTTTTTCCTAAAGGTTCTGCAGCCTCTCGGGAAAAACACGTATCATAAACC